GGACATAGCTAACTCAGTGTAAAATTCGTAGGGGTTAATACTAAAGCCCCCATCTGAGGTTTCTCTAGATGAGCTATTGAGGTAAAATCTACAGCTTGTCTCATCTAGGACTTGACATCAAGGTAGCTATCTTGAAATTAGCTACCCTGATGTATAAGCACACAGTTTCCTGCAGTGAAGACATAACCTCTCTTCAAAATATTCATATTTTAGTAGCTGTAGATCCCGCTTAGCATTCCAGATTATCTCATGCCAAATTCTCTGGCCTCAAGCACTGAGACATCAAAGGTCATTTGGTCCAATGAATACTTTTGTCAGCTGGGTAGTTTCTTTCACTTGACTAATTAATCATGCCTTAGGTACTTCCCAGGCTCAGGCTGTCTCAGAGAAACAGTATGTGCAACTATTTGCACTGATATTATCAAAGGTACAGCAAGGAAACTAATTTGTTGATAATACAGAAATAAAATTACAAATAACAATATGACTACTTCTAGGCATTGTATAGCTGACTGGATGGATTAGGGAAATGTTTTGCTTTCCTCTGAATTCAGATATTAGCTAATGCCACATATATAAGGATAGATAAATAAATGGTCAAATCCAGGAGGTCAAATCCTATATTCCTTCAGACAGTAATTTGATTTAAAACAATTCTGTATAATATTTTAATGCAGTTTTTCTTGTGTATAATAAAACACAGTAAACTTATGTGCTTAGACAATATTTATGTGTGTTATTATTTGCCTTTAAAATATTCCATACATACATGTGTTACTTAAAAAAATATGCTGTATATCTCATTTTTGCTAGTGAACTAGATTTGATACCATTGTTGTTCTGAAGATCCTAGCCCCTACTTTGTTTAACAATTTTATTCTCTATCAGTTTTGGTTATCCATCGTGCTTGCCTTTCGACAATGCCAACATTTGGCTTTCACTTCTTGTTAAAAAAGCTCAGTTGGGAGCATCACAGAGCATTTCATTTGGCTTTTTAACAAATAAGCCCGTTAAAAGCCAGTGTGCCCAGGGGTAAATGCTACTGACGACCACAGAGCTTGTTGCAGAAAAAGCTGTCAGTATTACAAAAAAAAGTGCTCATCTACCACATGCAGGGGTAAGGTTTGAGTGAATTAGAGAGAGAGGTATGTGGGGGCGGTCAAGAAAACTTTAGAGCAGAGAGTTTAGAATGAGCCAGAAGAGAGGGCAAAGGGGAAAAAAACCATTTTCATTGTAAAATCCATACAGAATACCTCAATATGTATAATAGAAATAATTTCATCTGTATTAGTCTGCCACTGTTCTATGCATGAGGCACATTTTTTTCTGAGCATTTCATGTATAGAATATTAATATTTTTCTTTCAAAAGTAACTCTTAAAACAATGAACTCTGTATAGACAATAGAACAAAAGAGGAGTCACTTAAAATCACTTTTAGTTTATTTTACTTCAAATCAGCAAGGCTCACAGTTGCTTTGGATTGCAAAACAACGCCTCTTTCTTCCTGGTAAGTCTTTATAGAGAAGGCAAGGAGGAATGTCGGAGACAATGGTGATATTGTTCAGGGGAAGAAGTGGGAAGAGGAGATGCTAAAGACATCAAGAAGCATGTATAGGGGAGGGAAAGAAAATGGGGAGTAGCTGTGGGAAAAGCAGAACAAAGGTGTGTGAAGGGGAAGAAAGTAACAAAAGGGTGCAGAGAGGAAAGACACTCCTCAGGCACTCTGTGTAGACTAGGGGACATCAGGGAGTGGGGAAGCCATTGGGATTCTGTGCATAAGGCAGAGAAGTTGGATTAGGAAGCAATTGGAAATTCTGTGCCAGGAAAGGAAGCAGGAAAAGAGTATGAAGCCATCATAGATTTTATTCAGGATGAGGAAGCAACAGTGACAATGGCAGAGGAGCAAAGCCTAACTCTAAAAGCAAACTTGTGTAGTTTTTTCATCACAATCACTCATCCTGCCTCCAACCAACACTATAGATATGTGCTTTCTTCCAGAAGGTAAATTTGTCAAAGCACATTCAATTTCAGCTGCATCTTTCCCATTGCTTTAAATACCAGTTGTGCAGCTAAAATCTTGACAGTATTTTGAAAATATATGGGTAGGTGTCACCAAGTTAATTCACTTGATGTTTCATATTTTTCATAGCTGAAGTTCCCATTCCTCCTCTCCCCTTCCCCCAACACACACACAGACACACACACACACACAGGCTAGGTTAGACCAAACGAAAAATGTGAATTGTTTGGGCTCACATTAATTCCACCTATTTTTCACACTGCACATATATGCTCTAGCCGTAGGATAATAGTCTTTATGTAAAAACTGAGGGTAAGTAGTATTGTCTTACGCATGAGATCAGAACCAGGTTCTCAAACTCTAACTGATGCTATGTCTGTTGTCTAGCTCACTAAAACTACAAAAAGAACAGGAGTACTTGTGGCACCTTAGAGACTAACAAATTTGCATCCAAAGAAGTGGGCAGTAGCCCATGAAAGCTTATGCTCTAATAAATTTGTTAGTCTCCAAGGTGCCACAAGTACTCCTGTTCTTTTTGCGGATACAGACTAACACGGCTGCTACTCTGAAACCTGTCACTAAAACTAGATATTTGCTGACTGCCACAATATGTTAGAGTAGGGATTCTGGACAGATCTGGTGCCACCCATTATAGAGATACAGGGCTTGATCCTCCATTCCTTGACGCTGGTGGGGTGCCATTCAATTAAATGGGGTCATACCAGCATAAAACTCTCATAAAAGATTGGAGAATAATGCCTATTAAGTTCAGAGGCAGT